TCAGAAGGCACTTAAAATCTAGAAAAGAAGAACCAAATTGAAAGAAAAGATGATTCAAAGTGAAATAATAATAAAGACATATCTATCAAATTAAGTGCAAGACACTAATTCAAGTCCATGTGATGTAACATTTAAGTTTCATTGATTGATTTTTAAAGTAATTTTTACAGCTTCTGTTTAACAATTTCATGCTAGTTAAAATATGATTGGTATTACTATTACTTCATTAAAATGATTTAAAGAAATTTCTGTTACCCTCCCCCCCCCCCCCAACAACCGCCTTTATTTTGAAGAGGTACGGTGTGAAATGATGACTGTTAATAATCTCTAGTCTTGATTTGAGCAAATAAATTAAGCTTATGAAATATAGATGATGTCAAAAACGTCCACGCTTGGTAAACTATCCTTGACTGGAGGTAGTTCTGTCTACCGAAGCGAGTGATGCAGAGAAAAGAAGAAAGAATAGCCTGGTAGTTCTGGCATTGCTAATTACCCTACAGGGGCTGCTAAAATACCTGCCAAATTTGTAATTGGCGCTCTTTATCTCTCCTAGCCTCCACGCGCTAGCATCTTCCAATATTATTATACTGCAAGACAACAGTAATTAGGTGTTGACTTGCCACCGAGGGGGATATTGGTAAGATTTGGAGAGAGATGACTGACACAAAAATGAATGAGTGGGCACCAAAGGGACCTATTATCCAGTAAAACTTCTTGACACTTATATTCATGTTTATATATTTTACAGCGTTTAGTTTTGGGATTATCAGGGGACTTGAGTCTAGCTGTGCATTGAATTATTTTGTCATTACAGAATATTTAGTCATGAGATAAAACATTAATGTTAATTGCTGCTAATTTAATAGCGAGCTGAAAGAAGTAAAAATTCAAAATAATTGATTGAATTCAAAGGATTAGAGATTCAGTAGTTGAATGCTTTTAGGGTATCAAATGGCACCTTGGATACCACTCAATTTTTAGAGGAAATTGATAGCAAATATGTTTGATCATAGATTTTCATCTCTTTCAATTTGCATGCAAGGAATTTGCTATTAGATTGATGTATCAATGTCCATTTATATAGTGGATAATAGATTTCAGAATTGCCCTTTCTTGAGAAAAATGTGGAAAATTTCTCATATTTTGAGAGAGCTGTCTTTGGCAGCTTGTTAGAAAGTATCTGTTGCAAGCCTGGTGCTGATGTTCACAAGATGTGATTCTAAGATGGTATCTTGCTATACTTGGGGATAAGGGAAGAGGGAAAATGGGTGACAAAGAAAAATACAGGTGAGTAAGGGTTCAGAGGAAAAGGAGACTGAAAATGGAGATGGAGGAGAGCAAGGAAGAGAGAGAGAGAGAGAGAGAGAGAGAGAGAGAGAGAGAGAGAGAGAGCAAGAGAGAGAGATGGGAGTTGGGGGTGGGGGGGGGGGGTGGGGAGAGAAAACAGGTAGGGAGTGAATGGATAAGTCATATTCATGTGAGTGGGCCATTAACACCAAATAAACTTCAACATATGTTAATAGTTAAAACAAAACATCAATGGAAAGAGAGAAAGAGAAGAAGAAACTTGAAGTTCAGAGAGAGAGAACATCAGGACAGGATGTACATGTAATGCGATGATTCACCTTGACCTAGGTATCAAAGGTAAACCAAAGCCTGTCTGCAGAATTTTGAAAAAAGGGAAAGAAAAAGGAATACCCCTAAGAAGGAAGATGAGCACAGAATAGTGGTTAAAGGCCTATGTTCCCTGTGGAATTCCTGGCTACCCTGGACAGTTTTAGAGCTAAAGATATACATGCACACTTAGCCTGCATCAAGTAGTTCAAATTGCAAATGTACCCCTGAAGTGAAAGTAGTGTCAGTATTGTGAAAATCAACTTCAAATACTTTAATGTGTGTGTGTATTGTGCATACAGTGTATTTCCTTTATAATGTAAAGAATGCTTACGGTATTAATGGATTCAAGATATACTCTATACATCTTCTTATAGAAATGTAATTAAAAGCTGAAATTTGTACTCCTCTTCTATTTACTGTTGAGATTTGATAACAATCTTAGCTACAGCAACACATTCTTCGATCTACCATAGCCATAACCATGTTAATCCTCAAGCACATTTCTTGGTTTGTATGATAAATCTTAAAATGGATGATTACCATTTAATTTCATTACTGAGAATTTATAAGTTATCTAATTTAATTTCTAAATATATTACCTCTCTGTAATTGACATTCCCCCTGCACGACCCCTACTCTACTCTATGCAAATCATACATGTAGGTGGTTGTGTATCCCTTTCCCCTCCCCTTCTGACTCCTGTTCCGTTTCAATATCATAGAGTGGTGATGGTGGTCATGTGAGAATACCCCTCCATCCCCTCCAACACCCTCTTCCTCTCCTACATGTAGCTGTCTTCTCATTCTGGTGTCCCTCTTCATAATAAGTTATTAGCCAGTATCACATTCAGAGCCACTTGATTGCTGTTGACTGATTACAACTCGTGTTAATTAGAAGCGGGCTGTCTTAATAACTCACCTTTCTCTGAACCGAAGGAGAGAGAAGGTCTTCCTCTTCTCCTTCTCTTCCTCCTGTTCTCCGTCCCCTCATCATCTCATCATTGTCTTGTCATCATCCATTCCTTTCCAATGTGCTAGAGCTACTGGAGTACAGGCTGTAAACAAAACAACATTAATGTCACCTTCCATATCTTTATGGTTACACTTACATTTGAAAAAGTGGTATTAAAGTGAGCGGCATGATTGTTGCTGGATTGAGATTTCATTCCGCATTACCAAAATTATGAAATTTATCCTAGTATAATTAATTCTTATCTCTTTATTGTAATTTTAGTCTTTAAGATGTAATGGAAGAGAAGGTTCATCGTTTAGTCCTTTCCATACTGTGTGGTACATCTACCTATAGAGAAGACTGATGTACAGATATGTTGTATTGGATGGGTTAATTGAGAAAGAAGATGGATTGACCTGCTGATCTTTGACCTCTTGTGAACTTCTAGGTCAGCAGAGCCCTTAGATAATGATCTATTTCTTACAAATGTCTGGGTCAAACTCACAAATAAACATCATCCACTAGGCAAACATCGTTCACCAAATCCACCTAATGATAAATGCATTAATATTATAAGTCATCTACAACCTGTATATCATGCAAGCAGGTAATGATCGCGACCAGACACACGTGCTCGACTCCCCTATAGAAAGATGCAGGGATCCAAGCGAAGAAGAAAAATTGGGATACGAGAAGAAGTTGCATTAGCGTGCATTATTTATGAATGGAAGGCTACATCTAGATGGGTCTTATTAATCTTAAGACAGCCCTGTCAAGGGGGGCCATGGGACATTAGTGAAGCGTTAACATTTACGATTACCAATGATGCACTCCACACACCGGTATGGATGCAGTGGAGAGAGGCTAGTGAGTGAGGAAGCAATTGGAGGGTGTGTTTCCATTATGGGGGTTTAATCTGGTCCTAGAGTGATAGGTTTAAGATTAGTATGTCCTTTTGGGGATAGAGCCCGAGGATGATGGCTTAATGAATCTAGATTTGTTGTCTTATCAATTGGATGATGCATTTAAATCAATGCTAAATGCAAAAATAAGCATTTAGGACAAGTGTTTAATATAGACCAATGAAATTATAACTGAATTTAGGATCAATGGGTATGGGGCTTACAATTCTAATTTCATTTATTATAAATATATGTTAGCCTCTGCTGTCTTGATTTAGAAGTGTTATCTTTATGGATGATGCATCGATGAGAATGAAGTAAAAAAAAAAATTATCTTGTATTGAGAGTTAGAGGGGCGTTACCAACATGAGTTAATGCCTTTTTGGCTCTCAGTAGACGACGTACATGTATGTTGGTTTTAGAAATTGCTTAATATATGATAAATCTTCAGTTTCTTGGCCTTTGGCATTTGAGAATGCATGTTGCATGATAGGCCTAGTGTGTACTACTTCTACTGCTGCTACTACTACTACTACTACTACTACTGCTACTACTTCTACTACTTCTACTACTACTACGACTACGGCTACAGCTACTAATACTGCTACTACTAGTATTTCTACTACTACTACTACTACTACTACTACTACTACTACTACTACTACTACTACTACTTATACATGTACTTGAACATCAAGCACTGTTGTTGCCCATGGAGACAGGGTTTAGAATGAGGAGGAGGCAGAGGTGGTGTTGGTGAGACAAGGGGAAGATGAGTCGATGTCACGGATGGTTACATGCCTGGCTTGTAACATGGTATGATCATCAGCAACACACCACACAAGCAGCAAGCAAGCATGCCAAGCCAGACCTGCCCCTTTCTAATCAGCGCTCTTCAGGCATGAAATCAAATTTGGCAAATGAGCCGATGATGTGTATTTACATTTTGACCCATCTTCCCCGCTCTCATAGGCATTCCGACTATGACCCACCATCCATTAACCTAGCATCAAATGCAACTTTGAAGCACCACATTATAATGTTGGTATTACCATGGATATAATGGTATTGCGTACTGACCAGTAAAGAATTATAATACAGTATACATTCTCATGATTCTCATGTAGGGCATTGACAGTTACCAAAGGCCACTGTATGCACTGACCTGTTATTCAACCTCTATTATCTTGTCTCAGTGAGACGTACATGTATCTTATTCTTATATCTATCAGAGATTATATGTAGGTCTGCTACTGTAACAATGTGTTCTTGTGTATACAACACATTGCTAAGTAAAGGCATCCACTAGAGACTTTTTTTTTAAATGGTTTGATGTATTTTCATGGGATTAATTAAATAATATTAACAACATCAACGACAAGTAAATGTGACTGCTTTGAAATATTCAATAAAGAATATACCATCAGATGAGAAGTATTCTATTAAACAATTCAAATGTTCATTAAAAATGCTTATTGAAACCCCTTTTTAAACAAAGTTTGTCTATTTTCTTTTTTTCTCTTTTTACAGGCCATCATATATGAAGGACAGGACAAGAATCCAGAGATGTGTCGTGTGCTACTCACTCACGAAATCATGTGCAGGTGAGCACCATTCAATACTAAACTAGGATAAACTCCTGATGAAATCCATTGGAGATGCATATTGATGTCAAAAGATGAAAGTAGTCTCCACCTGTTCACTTCAATCTTTATTGATTCTCCAAATTAAAAACAAAACAAACAAAGAACAATATATATATACAAAGCATTTCATACAGTAAAATACAAGATATATTTTATGAATTCTTTCAAAACCAGATGAACAACAGGGACCATCATTGAAACTCTTTTGAGGCAGGTTAAAGGTTGAAGGTCAAGACCAATCTTAGTATTAAAGACCTTGCACTACATTTAATTATCTTGTAAAGGAATTCAATTGTCTGGTTTTGTCTTAAATGGGAAAAGTTAGAAATTAGAAAGCAGTGTAAGAGACAACAAACAGAGGATAGTTAGAAATTATCTTTCTTCTATGATTATAGCTTGAGAAATTTAACTCTGACTTTAATATTGATTTGTGTATGCCATTGTTTGAGAGCTGAAAACAAAATCCTTAGTTCTTGAAAGCCTGAGTTATTGAACAGAAGGCTCTCAAACACATGGCCATGCCATAACAGAGCAGTTTTGGCCAGAAATGACATGTCGTGTGTGATCCGATATGGTAGCCCCACATATTTTTTTGATTAGCCTATCTTTTTAGAGGTTAAACAGGCTAGCTCCTTCGATTAAATGCATAGTATCAATATCTAACTTGAGATAGTAAGCATGTGATGGGGTAATATGAACCACATCGCAGGAAAATCATGATGCAAGCCAGCAACAATTAAGATGATGGCGGCGAAGGAGGAAAAGTTTGGTCTTGCAACTCCTTGGCCGGAGACATTTTTTCATTTGAAGAAGAGAGGGAGAAGATAAGATATTTTGAATTCCGAGGAACAGTGCAGGAAGTAGAAACCAAATCTGTGACTTGGAATTTTGAGACAGTTTCATTTTCATCTAACATGCTTTTTCCTATAAAATCTGGTTAATAAATCAAGAACATTTGTGGATTAGGAAGAATGGAAGGAGAGAGTGGGGAGATGGGGGGGGGGGGGGGGGGGGGGGGTTCAGAAGGTAGAAACAGAGGTCTTCGAACTTGGATGAGTCGAGCGAACATGTTTGTATCAGGTCAACAGCAAATAATTCATCATGTTCGGGAGAGGCACACCACTTTGCCGAAAACACTTGACCCCAAAGAAGACTAGCTTGACCCCCAGGAGAAGCGCGGGTCCTCTGTGATCAATCAGTAAACGTGGGTGAAGAATTGGCCATGGGGAGGGCAGGTGTGGTGTAAGGGGGGGTGGGGGGGTGTGGGAGAGATGGGGTTTTTAAAGATCAAAGTGGTTTGTAGTAAATAGCTCACAGTACAGGAGTGTTATTTTTTTAAATAAATACATGTAGGAATCAAACTTTCTGAAAGAAAGGTTGGAAGCATCGAGTTAGGGTGAGGAGAAAAGTAAAAAGAAAAGAAAAGAAAAGGGGAAATGAGAAGAGATTCTTAAGGTGTTATGTTTGATGTATTGAGGGAGTGATATTTGTACTGTTTAGGAATAAGAGTTAGCTGGAGAATCACAAAAGCATGTACTTAAAATAACAGGGATTTATTTGAAAGTGACAGTAAAACAACATCAACCTTATTCCTGTCTGAAACAAATGTCTCTACTTTTCGAGACACAAAAGTGAGAAGGGGGGGGGGGGGGGGGGGAGGAAGAGCGATAGAAAAACCAAGTGGATTGAGTAGGAGGTGGAGCAACTTTATGATACACTTAAGGAGGAAGGAAGAAACTTATATTCTTCAATTGTATCTTTAAATGATTAGGATGGGTAGGGGTACAATATAGAGAGAGGGGAATCACAGTTTTTTGCTGAAACAAATGTCTCAACTTCTCAAGAAAAAAAAAGTGAGAGGGGGAGGAGGAAGAGCGATAGAAAAACTAAGTGGATTGAGTAGGAGGTAGAGCAACAGGCCATTCAGTCGCTCCTTTACGCCAACTCTCCAAACTGTTTGATGTAGGTGGAGTGGGCACTTGAGTCCCGTTTCCCCTAACTGTTGCTTCATGCGCACTAATGGAACAAACGCTAAAGATGGGCCATGTGTGTGCTTGTTTCAAGTGCTCTGTCTGTGATCATCCTGTTTCTCTTCTCGTCCATTTTGGGTGGCATCCTTGATGATTGTAATGTAACGGAGACATCAAGAGTGCATTGATGTAATTGCAGTAACCATAAATGATTTTTCTCAAAAAATTTCATTTGATATCTTTTACATTATGACAAATTGACAAGCATTCAAGGAACATTTTATTCCTATTGAAAAAGTTTCCTTTTCTTGTGAAATGCATACATAGCTTCACTGAGACAAAGTTGATCTTAGGGACATACTTTCAATATCTCTTTTTGAACTTGACTTAAACATAAAACAAAACTTTGATTTGCATAGATATATACATAACTCATTAATAAAGAAATTACATTAATGTGAATTTTAGAGCTAATTGTGAAACTTCTTTGAGAGCAGTTTAGTATGAAAAGTAAAACCGTCAAACCTTTCATTTTTCTCCTGTCACTGTACACTATTATTGTTGACATCTTATTTTTTGACTCTCTGGTATGAAACATATCCCTTTAGAAGGCTGTCTGTATTTTGACATTCCAATAAACACCCCATCAAATAAAAAATAAACACGATTATCCCCAAGTTGTATGTTCAGGCAGAGAAATGTTATCGTTCAAAAAGAAAAAGTTATTCTGGGAACGTTGTAATTTCAGAAACATTCAGTAATTTGCCAACAGCCAGGCCCGGAGCTTTCTCTACCTCCCCTCTCCTAAAAACTCACTTTCAATCAAAGTTACAGACATGTATCCAAGCTCAGTGATTGGCTTGTTGGCCGTACGCTCATCGTGATTGGAGACGGTGTTGAGTTCCAGTTAATTTTATAAATAATAGCTAGTAGCAATGACGCTTCTTCTAATTTCAAACGAAAGCCTCCTTTTACTCTCCCTGTCAAAGAAGAGCCAGAGTGAAAATTAGATGAAAGGATAACAGCAGAATTTTCCTCTCATCCCCCTACAAATATATGAAGAAAAAAAACGTCTTCACCCCAGATTTGCCCTCAAACCTGACCAAGCAGAGTTCGAGTTACTTGAACGCCAGAGAGAAATAGAAAAAAGGAGAGTGAATTGAGCGGCATAGCTGTATCTAATGACAACATATCTCTTTGTGTTGGGCCGTAATATGAAAGCAATATTTTCCTGGGGCACCCGACTACAGAGGGTTGCAATCCATGATGTCTTCCACCTGTCTCTCATGTTATCATCATTTATATATACCGGTATATATATTTGTTCCTTTATGGATCCAGATTTCATATTTTTCTTTCCCCGAAGCCATAAGCCACTAGCATACAGGCTTACAAGTTGTTTCTTGTGTTGATTAAGCAGGAGATATACTTACATACTCATAAGAAATAAACATATAGTGTGTGGTCTTAAATAACAAACAATTGTTTTCATTATTTGTTGATATTCTTTTAGTCTGAGCTCCATGAATACAAATAAATATTTATTTTGTAGATATTAATCTATCATTTTTTATTCTTATTGGTATGATTGAATAACATTATTTATCTTCTAGAAGTATATTATTGCCAGTGACAATTTCTCAAAATTGTAAAGAAATCCATTAAGAGAATCTATTCTTGCAGGTGGTTGAAAGGAACTCCCCATTTTAATGAACTGTATACTGTACATAGAAGTCCTGGCTTATTTCTTTCCACCCTTCAGCTCTCTTTTTGCACACACTGTAAATTACATATTTAATCTCTCTCTTCTCATATTCACTTTGTCTCTCTCTGTCTATATATATATATATATATATATATATATATATATATATATATATATCTCTCTCTCTCTCTATGCTACCTATCTATCTCTCTGCTCCTATATCACCCCTCTCTCTCTCTCTTTCTCTTCATCTCTCTCTTTCTCTCTCTCTCTCTTTCTCTGTCACTATTCTATCTATCCAGCTCTCTGTTTTATGTCATCCCTCCTCTCTCTCTCTCTCTGTTCCTTCAACCTGTTATGATACATAGCCACCTGCAGTTGTTTTCATTCACCAGTCACACATCGGACACCATACTGTGGGATTCACAAATAAAGTGTAAATCATGAACCCAAACTGTGTTGTTATGCCTCATCGATGGAGAGAGAAAAAAATGATCTAATAACTTGAAATAATGACATAAAGCGAGAAGAATCATTGAGTAACTGGGGATGAGATTTAAGCTCCTGGGAATGACTTGACACCTCTGAAGGTTCTAGCTAAGTGTGGGTTTCCTTCGATTAATGATTCTAATCGAGTCGTCAGACCTAAACCAATAGCTATCTCCCTTTCCCTCCGTCTCCATACTTTTCTCACCCACCTTCTCATGATGCGGGTATGGAGAATCTGTGCATAATAAACCATCTGCTTGTATTCAAGTTTGTTGTTATTTATAAGGGGTGCCAGTTCTTCTTTTATGACTTGAAAATGAGAGGAGAAAGCAAAGGTCATGATGTTGAGGTCATGTATGTCAAGGCTACATTGCAGTATTTTTCTTGGGGCTTTTTCTCACTTATGAACAAGTTTAAAAAATATGAAATGTGAATAATGATTTTTGCTTATGATTCTGTTCCCCTAGGAATACGGAGTATTATGCAGAATATCATAAATTTATATAGTTAAGGTGTCTGTCAGAGAAAATGAAATCATTATCTAAAATGATAAATAGGATTTGAAATATGAGAGAGCTTTGTTATACAGGGGTATTGTATATTTTTTGTCTCTGTTAAATGATATTTCAAATATGTTTATTTATTTATTTATTTTAAAACATTTTTTTTTTTTTGGGGGGGGGGGAGGGGGAATCTTTTAAGATGTGATAGCTAGATTATTAGTAGCAAACAAACTTAAATTATACATTTGCAAATGATCTAAATTTACCATAAAAATAATTTAATGTTCAAGTTTATGCAACATCATGCTAATAGTAATAGTTTGCACATTCAAGTAACCATGTTTGCTGTATCTACATTGATTGGTGCATGGTAGTCAATTTTACGATAAGTGATCACCCTTTTCTACCTTTTCTTTCTTTCTTTCAGCCGCTGCTGTGACAAGAAAAGCTGTGGCAATAGAAACGAGACTCCATCTGATCCGGTAATCATCGACAGGTATGTCGCAATAAACCCCTCTTACCCGAGTGATGTGCGAGAAAAGAGAAGTCGGATTTTGTTGATTGGTGTTGGATGATTTTCAGAGTAATGTTGGTCCAGAAATAAGCGTGATAGTATTGTTTGGAAAGCTAGAATTAAGCAGGATCATGTTTATCACGCCAACGAGACCAACAACGGGCAATTTTTTTCTTCTTATTTCCAAATGACCAACAATCAGTCGATTTGGAACCGGTTTGGGGTCGGTTTGGCGGTGTGTGAATGAGGTTTCTTAAATTTGAAAATGAGTGTGAAGAGTGGCCTAATGAAAGATGTTGTTAAAATTGCATTTGTTTTCACCTTTAATTAACATTTTTATGGTGGATATGGAGTAAATTGCAAGAGGTATTGTAAAATTAGTGCACCGATGACTGGAACTCAAGTAGGTAGATGTACTTATATCAAGTCATTTTTTAGTTGAGACTTGGTCATACATCATCAGATCCCCTGATATTGTTTATTTCCATCACCATGCTCTGGTGCAAAACCAAATAAAGTTTGCGGAGGAGAACCGAAGAAGAGCGAGGGAGCTTGTCATTAGTCTTTCGTATATTGTCCGTGGTAGAAGTAATGATGATGATATTCAGCTCAACTCCTGGCAATTTATATCCACTTGTGGGTTAATTGTGTCTTCTGTGCCATCCTCAATGCTACTTAACTTTCCCCTTTTCTCTTAGACCCTTATTCAATGACCATTTGTGCCAAAAATGAGGATAATTATTTGGCTTACTTTATGTAGTTCAAGCTAAAGTTATGACCTTAAAGATGAAGTTGAGTTCTGGTCATGCGATTGCATTGTGAAAGAAACGATGTGGAACCGACCAGAAAAGGTTGATCATCTAGCATATAAGAATTTGTGTGTATTGCAAGGTTCTGGAATCATCAAAATGATAAGAAATTTGGCCAAGTCTTGGTAAAGTTACAAACACTTGCACAGAAAGATGTATGTGGGACTACACGAACACGTGGCGTAAAAAGCCGGCCCCCCGATTTTTACGATGTTACATGCATATTTAGAATATGAAGGCATTTGAAGAGCCGTGCTTTTCAGGGAACATGTCTTATCTGATGTTCTTCCACACTTGCATAATAAGAATGAGTAATGCTCACAAATTATTTTTCACCTCTTCCTAGAACTCAACCTTCTCTTTAAGCAAGTGCATCCAGATTATTTCAAATTAATCTATTTGTATTAATTTAGAAGAGCTTTAAAGGCATACCAATTATTGGTCCCACTGTTTGTGTCAAAACCATTTCAACGGCTCTATATGTAATAATGTCTACTGAGAACTGGAGGGATGTTGTCTCGTATACTTCAACACAGGCTTTCAACAGTCGGTATGATAGTGCAAATTTCTGAAGATGAAAGTAGATAGAGATGTCAATAATTCAACATTCGGAACACAGTGGTCAATGCAATTTAGACAGAGACAGCTAGAGGTGGCAGTTAGGGTTTGTTCTGTACAATAATGACCTCATATCAGTTCAGTTTAGTCATTGTTGTGGGCCGGTGTCATCCTGCGCCCGTCTATTTCTGGTGTATATTGGCATGTCTATCCAGGCAGGGCAGGGGAAGGGGGAAGTGGTCCATTGTAGCTTTGCAGTTAATCCTTAATCACCTTGATTCATAGCCCTCCAAGGATTCTGTCTTTCCACAGGTACCCACCTGATTGGAGGGGAGGGGGACGGGGAGGGGGACGGGGAGGGGGAAAGGAATTCATTGATTACCCTTCTTTCCTATCCACCCCTCTCCCTGCCCTATCTCTCACCTTGTCTTGCTATCTCCCCCTCCCCCCTCCCCCTCTCTCACTCTCACACACACTCTGTGTGTGTCTGTCTCCTTGGCTCTCTATCCTCTTCAATTACTTTTGTGTCATGTTATCTCTTAATATATCTGCCTATTGTCTTACCACTTGGTTCATGCCAAAAGGGCATTACTGTGTTAAAGTATATAACTGCATGTCCTAGCCCCAAAGTGATATAAGGGTATCATGATTGACTTCGAGAGAGAAGTCATGAAACAATAGGCCCACAAATATCAAGTATCAAATATGAATTCAAATGAACTATACATGTAAAATTTTAACCACAGTGATTTCAGGTGCAAGAATAGTTTTGATGATACACTGTAATATCGAAAGTCCTTCTTTTCAAATCCTTAGCCGAATTTGAGATTTAAAAATAGAGAGGAAATCGAGACTGTAAGAAGAGATAACATAATTGTCAGATGACAAAAGAAACTCTAAATTTTTTGTGGAATCATGGTGAATCCATTGCGTCTATAGTTAGCATGGACTTGTTATTCCCTAGGGCCTTTAGCCATGAGTAGCATCATGATGCATTGTTTCTTCATCTGACCAGGCCGTGTAACCTTTACCAGGCGTGGTGATTCACCTGACTGTGAGTGCACCTTGATGAAAGACTAGCAGTGCTGCTCAACACTTTAAAGGGAATGATCAAAATAATGAGTCCTCTGCTATAATTAGGATCAGTCTTTACATTCCTACACTCCAATTCTATATGTCTAAAAAAAAAGTTTTCCTTAAATGTCATTTTCATTATAGTCAATACCATCCTGTAAAATATCAATATTTCTCCTTCTTTCTGTGTCCCCAAACTCTCTATTTTCATAAGATGATAAGCCTTTTTAAAAAATCTTACTAACAAAAATGCACATTTTGAATATCTTTCCATTTTTTATAATGATACCAGTCTTGATAGGCTGTACCAGACTTCTAGATTAACTGTAGACCACTTTCCAATCTCATCAGGAGCTGTGTAGTGAAAATTAAACAGTATCCTTCACTAGACAACATTTTGCTTCCATTTATAAATGTCAGATATGGATGTTCTTTTTTCTTTTCGTATAAGAGATTGAATGTGTGTGCTCTGTTTCTTTTCAACAATTAATTTCATTCAGTATTATTTTGTTATTTTTTTATAATTCATAGGACATAACTCATCCCCTTTTAATTGCTCTTTTATAAATAAATAGAGTTTAATTTTAATTACATCTAAACTTTTCTGTATGCAGGATAATTGAAAGCAGCTTTATATGATTCTACCTGAGGAATGTGTTGGACTCAATGTCAAAATCTGCCCTTGGCTTGGCTTGTTACATTGGACAAGACAAGATAGGCAATTACTCATAAAGCATAGAGGAAGGATATGACACTTCCATCAAAAGAAGGAACAAAAATGCCCCTCTTCCTTCTCATGTTACCCCTCTCCTCCTCCCATTTCCCTTTCTATTATCATCTCCCATTATAAAACCTTGCCCCCCTCCCTCCCTCCCTCCCCCCTCTGAATAAGTCAGTCGGTGGAAATAATGCAAGCAGGTAATCAGAATCGATGATGAGAGATAGGGGGGATGCTTTCATCCGGTATCGTCTTTCTCCCTGGCCGCTGGAATAACACTATTTTGGTCAATACGCTGAAAGATCCCATTAAAAATGCTGTTTCTAGCTGAGGTGACTAGACCTGGGATGGGCCGATGACAGTTTGGAGAGCGACTGGCTGACAGGCAAAATTGCGCTCAAGTTTATCAATGAGATCATTCCTATTGTCAAGATGATTAATAGATTTGTGCATGTCTATTAAAGTCTTTAAACTTGAAGGAAATTCTTGCAATTCTTTCCAAGCTTCGTATCTGAACTCCACTCTCAAGAAAAAGGCCCATTTGTACATAAAGGCCCTCATTCTTGGAGAATTGCTCAAACAGGACGGGATATATAGGCCTATTTGTCTAGTGATGATATATTCAGCATAAAACGTCCATTCCTTTGAAAGCTGCAAATAATTGATGCATCAATAATTAATACATTTAAAAAAAAAAAATTAGCCAATGGTGGCAGTCCCAGCTGGGGTGCATTCATTAACTGTATTTACAACAATCCAATTGAGCTTGAGTTACACTTCAAAAATCCTATTTGACATCTTGCTTTGAACATGCTGTTCATAATAAATTGCATTTACTCAACTCTTGAATGGATGTTTGATACTTAGCATTCCTCCTTCTCAAGCAGATACACACTTCATCTCATCCCGCATGGCATTATAGATAATATAATTACAAGATCCCAGTGGTCGTCTAATAATTCTCTCTTTAAAATTCACTGAAAATACGATTAGATGTACAAATTTGTGAACTCTGATGGACTCTGCAGTTGTGCTGAACTCTAAACTTTGGCTTTAATGGTAACTGGTATGATCCTTAGGAATAGGTAGGTTAAAAAAAAGAATCCCACATGGATCCATAGTTTTCTTTGCCAAAGCTCACCAGATAAATACCCTGTAACCACTTTTCCAGATTGTCTCTACTTGGTATTCTTTTCATCATTTCCGCAATCGGAATGGGCAGAGAGAGAAAGAGATAAAAAGAGAGGGAGGAACGAGAAGAGAAGGGGGAAATATTTAAAAGACTGCCTCCAGTTTTCTTGCCATCACTTCGGGGGGTCATGAACCCCGGTGAAATGAGAAAATTTGGGGCGCATCATCGTAGCTCAGGATTGGCCCAGTTTCTTTCAGTAACGAAATCCGTTGAGCCGTTGTGCTCTCTCCTTCTATCAAGTAGCGCATGTGCAGCGGTGATGAGTAAGGACTCGTTGCATATATCCACCGAGGAGTCGGGATGTCGCAACATCTTCGGGAAAGAGTAGAAAATGTTCCTAATGGTGTGGTAATGCCTGACCAACATGTTTAGTGGTCACCCGGATCAGACAGGTTAGGGTTACAGGCCTGAAGCCAAGAACCTGATTACAGGTCAAAGGTCATGTCTCAAAGACATTGCCATAAAGTAGACTTGGATGTATAATGAAATCCCTAAAAGACAGTAATGTTATTAGATCAGACAATTTCAACACGACTCAATCAGATTGTGGTGTTTACTTTTGAAGGGAAAGTCTCTTTTTTTATAGCAAATTATTCAATATTCGTAATTGACCCAATGGCTGTTAAATTCTCTTACTTCTCTCCAGTCCATGCAGGAACCAACCATTTTTTATTTGATTATAGGTCATGATTTAAACAAATTAATGTAATTTTTCACAGACATTTCAGACTCATGCCATTTATATGCAAACCACTTTACATGGTTGCAACTTGCATCAACATATCGTCCCTGTTTT